TTATAACTGTTGTTACTTATTATAACTGTTGTTATTTATTATAACTGCTGTTACTTATTGTAACTGTTGCTATTTATTATAACTATTGTTATTTATTATAAATGTTGGTATTTATTATAACTGTTGTTATTTATTATAACTGTTGTTAGAGCAGACAAACTTTGGACTGCAGCTGCCTGCAGTGTGCATGTGCTACTTCACAATTGGAGCATTTCACACCTCTGTGGGGGGTTCCCCCGAAACTCTCCACTCAGCCCTGTCTGTCAATCACGTGACAAATTTCATAGATTGATGATCTGACGTCTATTTTTTTTTTTATGCCATGTGATCTAATGCCTTTGCAATTGACCGGTAGATCATGATCGATGTATTGGGCATCCCTGATTTGTCACATCCCCCCGAACACAAAAAACAAGACTGGACTTCTATTCTGTAGTTGAAGTAATTTCTCTTCGCATTCAGAAAAGTTAATCAATTCAAGTTTTAAACTTCATGCGTCCTTCAGAGTTGAGCCTCTCATTAAGTTTAATGCGATTCCACTCTCTATTTCTGAAGTGAGAACGCGAGACATCTTCAACTACAGAAAAGAAGTCCTGAATCATTTATCACCTTGTGCAACACGTCCACAACTTTTCCACAGAGCAGAACCCCCGGCAGGTCAAAGTAGTTGTCATAGAAATAATATTTTGCTGCAAAAAATAAAATGAAATGTAACTCAGTTTAAGATAAAATAAAGAAATTATTGTACAATAATCAAAAGACATTAGCAAAGATGTAAGCAACACACCAGATCTTGTAAAGGACGTATTCAGGCTGTTGAAGTGCTTCCATTCCCTCTTTAGACCATAATGCTTGGTGATCTCATCTATGCTCAAGTCAACGGTTCCATGTGATGCTCTATTTAGGAAAAAAAATATATATACATTAAAGAAAACGTTTTGAAAGTCTGGCATGATAATTACAGTTTCATGAAGTGATAGTGTACCGTAGAACAGTTCCATCTTCAGCTAACTTCATAAGGTTTCCATCTTCCAGATCCACCACTAGTCCTTTAAAACTGAACACCAAGTGACAGAGGACAAAACATTAAAATATGACACATTAAAATACGACGTGACGAAGAAACATAAAAATACGATGTGGGGAATGTAGGGGAACCCCACCTCAGAAAAAGAACACCACCTCAGTAACAGTTCATCTCAGCTCAAACAGAAAAAGAGTTCACCTCAACTCAAACAAACATCATTCATGTGTTTTTGTGTTTGAAACGGTTTCAAATAAGATGCCTCTTATTTCCTTTGGAACAAACAGACTTTGTTTTACAAGTGTTTAACTCAGCTCACAAACTATTTAGTTGACACTAATGTGAATATAATGGAAAAACTGTCATTTCCCATGAAACGGACAGATCATTTTAATGAGAGTTTGGTTCAACTGACCTCGAAGTTTGAAACATCTGCTGAGATTTTATCTTCCTTTATCGAAAAGGAGTACTTCTCCCAGAATGGTTCCCATGAAGATAACACCACAAGGATCCCTTTGTTTAATGACATTTATTTTTCAGGGGATGGACAGCGACACCTTTTGATGAACATTGATTCTGTTTTATTTCATACCTGAATGTTTATTCATGAAAATGTGTGTTTTAAGTAATCTCTCTTTAAGAATCATTTGTCTTATTATTTTCTTTTAAATGTAACTTTTAAGGCAGAGAGAAAAGGACTATATTTATTTAATAGGCCTTTATAAAAACAAAGCCAAGAGTTAGGACCATCCCTCTTCCGAGAGGTGGACCAAAGTCAATCTGTAACACACAGACAGTTAAGTGAAGTTTCACTTCTTCACTACTTTTTCACTTCTTCACATCTACTTCTCAACTTCTGCTACACACTTCACTGAGGCTCCATCTCAGAAGACGGCACAAGAGAACTGGAGAGAAGAAACACAGTTTCTGCATGGGACTCAGAAAGGAGAGAAGCATCCTTTCTGCAGCCATCTCAGGACAAGCGGAACACACAGGACCTGGCATTAACCTGAGATTTGTTACCAGAACCATCACACCGCAAAGGAGTGGAAAATCCTGCTGACTTCCATATGGACCCTTGTCCCTCTAAGATGGCAGGTGAACTTTGAGGAAAAATCAGCCTCTCAGTCACAAGAACATCTGGGCTGGTACCATTTTTAAGCAGCTGTTGGACCATTCCTGACCATCTCATTCTAGTAGAAAAGAGACTCTTCAATGCCTTTCTGGTGAACCTACATCACAATAATCTTAGACAAACTACAGCTCACTTTAGATATAATTTTAACTACTGCTTAAACAGAACCAGTCCAAAATCTGCCTTTTAAGTTTCACTGATTTGAATGATCAAATAGACCTTTGATACAAAGCTATTTGTTATTCATTTGTTCGTTATGCATAATTTTTATCACATATAACACAGACTTTTATTTTTATAATAAAATACATAAAATCAACTGAATTTGTGATTATTTTGGCATATCTGTGTGTATTAACTGATTTGATGCCCTTTAAACACAAGAAAGAACTCAACAGTTTACATTAATTTGGGGTTAGAGACTGATTTTTCCTCTTAAAGAGAGGTGGTGCCCACACAACGAGGTTATTTGCATAATCAGAGTCAGAGTCAGAGTTTCTTTATTGTCATTCGCACCTCATGTGGTACATGTGGTGGAGCGAAATTATGTACACAGGGTCCCAGTTACATCCAACAATAAAATGTATAAGAAAAACAGTAATAACATCTAAGATATGAACTAAGAAAAACATCAACTAAATATACACTAAGCACTCATAACATAAAACATTGAACATCAGCACAAACATGAACATGAGTCTGTGAGCAGATGTGCACGCATGAACACATCAACATTAAAACAGATCAGCAGCAACATGAAACAGATCAGCAGCAACATGATATGGTTTTTCACAGTGATTATTCTAGTTAGAGATTCATGAGTCTAACAGCCTCAGGGTAGAAGCTGTTCCTCAGTAGTGGTTCTACACTTAATGCTCCTTAACCTCCTTCCTGAGGGGAGTGGGGCAAAAAGTGTGTGTGCTGGGTGAGTGGGGTCCTTCATGATGCAGGTGGCCCTCTTCCTGCATCTGGAGGTGTAGATGTCTGTGATGGTGGGGAGGCTGATTCCGACAGATTTCTGTGCAGCCTTCACCACTCTCTGCAAAGCTTTTCTTTCTGCAGCTGTGCAGCCTCCATGCCACACATTGATGCTCGAGCACAGGATGCTCTCCACTGCACACCTGTAGAAGGAGGTGAGGACTGAGCTTCCCAGACCAGCTCGCCTCAGCCGTCTGAGGAAGTAGAGTCTCTGATGAGCTTTCTTGATCAGGCTGGTGGTGTTGTTGCTCCAGCTGAGGTTGTCATTCATGTGTACACCCAAGTACTTGTAGCTGGAGACCACTTCCACCGCAGATCCTCTTATGTTCAGGGGGGTGTAGGTGTTTTTGTTCCTTCTGAAGTCCACAATCATCTCCTTTGTCTTCTTCACATTGATGTGAAGGTTATTCTCTCTGCACCAGCTCTCCAGGTGTTCCACCTCTTGTCTTTAGCTGGACTCATCATTGTTTGTGATGCATCCCACCACCGCTGTATCATCTGCAAACTTTACAATGTGACAGCCTGGATGGGTAGCTGCACAATCATACGTGAGCAGAGTAAACAGGAGGGGGATCAACACACATCCCTGAGGAGAGCCAGTGCTGAGGGTTATGGTGGAGGAGGAGAGGTTGTGGATCCTCACTAACTGTGGTCTGTTTGTTAAAAAGTCTAGTACCCAGTTGCAGATGGAGGGGCTTAGTTCTAGTGTGGATAGTTTGTCCATCAGGGTTTGGGGGATCATGGTGTTGAAGGCGGATGTGAAGTCCACAAAGAGCATACGGACGTAAGAGTTTTTTCTGCTCTAGGTGGTTGAGCGCAGTGTGGACCACAGAGGAGATTGCATCCTCTGTTGATCGGTTCTCACGGTATGCATACTGATGAGGGTCCTCGTTGATGTTGATGGTTGTTTTGATGCGAGTCATGACCAGTTTTTCGAAGCATTTAGCGACTATCGGGGTGAGGGCCACTGGCCGATAGTCATTCAGACCAGTCACTGTAGAGCTTTTTGGGACTGGGATGATGGTGGCAGTCTTCAGGCAGGTGGGAACTGTCTCCAGGGTAAGTGAGGTGTTAAGGACTTTTTAGATTTATTGGACTCATTTAATTTAACTCAGCATGTAAACGGTCCCACCCAAGAGCGTGGACATACACTGGACCTTGCTTTAACTCATGATATGACTGTTAATAATCTTGTTATTGGTGATAATGTTTTTTCAGACCACATGCCAGTCCAGTTTGAGTTCACCCTCCCCCATCTAACTCCGAAGCCGTGCATTCCTGCACGTCGCACCCGGACCATTAACCACTTCACTGTCGCACGTTTCACAGATGTTTATAACTCTGAAATGATAATTCAGCCCCCAGTGTTTCTCACCACCACTGAGGAGCTGACATCCCAGTTCAACTCTGTCTGCTTAAAGACTATGGATCATGTTGCACCTGTTAAAACCAAAAGATCAAAACTCAGAGCAGAACCTTGGCTGAGTGACGTCACCAAGGCCACTAGGCAGCAATGTAGGAGGGCGGAACGAAAGTGGAGGAAAGACAGGCTGCAGGTCTCTTTCCAAATACTTAAAGAGAGTTGGCGCTGTTATCAGAAAACAGTAAAAGCTACAAAATCAAAATTCTTCTCTGATATAATTACCTCAAACACTCACAACCCACGTGTCCTCTTCTCCACCCTAAACTCTGTTCTCCACCTCACTGAACCATCACCTCTGGAAGCCTCGACTGAGCTGTGCGACAACTTCCTACATCTCTTTGTGGAAAAAATTGCGACCACCAGTGCTCTCATTTCCCTTCCAACTCATGACCCATCCATCCCACCTCAATCTGTAGCTCCTTTTGACCATTTTGAACCCATCACTCTATCTTCTCTAGAGCAGGTCATGTGCAGCTTGAAACTTTCTGGTTCCCCCTTTGATGTGGTCCCCCCTCGACTACTAAAGGAGGTGTTTCCTACTCTAGTTCCATCTATTCTTGCCATAGTAAACAGTAGTTTATCCACTGGCGTGGTGCCAAAAACCTTTAAACATGCTGCCGTCCAGCCTCTCCTGAAAAAAAACAAACCTTGACCCCTCACTCGTTTCCAACTTCTGGCCTGTCGCCAAACTCCCATTTGTTTCTAAAGTACTGGAGAAAATAGTCGAGTCCCAGTTGAAGTGCTTCCTGGAGGATCACGCCATCTTAGAGCTTTTCCAATCTGGCTTTAAACATCTCCACAGCACTGAAACTGCCCTGCTGAAGGTCTTTAACGACATCTTCAGATTCACAGATACCGGTGATTCTGTGCTGCTTGTCCTGTTGGACCTCACAGCCGCCTTTGACACTATCGACCATGAGATCCTCATTGCTAGGTTGGAGCAGTGGGTGGGCGTCACAGGATCAGCCCTCAATTGTTTCAGCAGATCTTACCTCACTCACAGATCCTTTTGTGTCTCCATCAAGGATTTTAGTTCCATAGAGGCAGAGCTAAAATTGGGGGTTCCGCAGGAGTCCATACTGGGTCCCCTCCTATTCTCTTTATACCTGCTGCCGCTCTGTGATATTTTCCGGAAACACAACATGCCCTTCCACTTCTATGCCGATGACTGTCAAATTTACTTCCCCCTAAGACACAATGGTACATGCTCTATTCAACCACTGCTCAACTGCCTGGCTGACATCAGGGACTGGATGGCTTTAAATTTCTTAAGTTTCAATGAAAAGAAGTCTGAAGTCATATTGTTCCCTCCCAACAACACGATCACAAACCACTGCATCGACCTTTCCGCTCTAACCCTGTCAGAAAAACAAAGAGTCACTAATCTGGGCATGATAACAGACCCTTCCCTGAAACTTAACAATCATGTAAACATGATTGTTAAATCATGCTTCTTCCAACTGAGGCGGCTGTCTAAACTGAAGCCCATATTGTCCA